TTTAAGACCCTGTTCTCAGTTGCTAATAACCTTGCCAAACTTTAACCATTTGGGCTGAAGTTTTCCATGCCAGGTGTCTGCCTCAGGCTGATTTTTTTGGACGATTTCAGCCATTTCCAAGAATGAGACTGGAGAAAAATGTGGGGTTTTTTTGCCCATATTTTAACATAGTTAAAATAGTCCTGGTGACTTTTTTTTTTTTTTTTTTGGGAAAAGCTCTAGATCCATGCTCTGGAGAAGGAATTAGAAATTTGGCAGGGGAGTGGCCTTTCTGTCAGGGCCTCTGTGAAAATCCAGCCAAATCTGGTCAAGTTATAAGCCTCAGAAAAATCACAGTTTGCACATGCTCAGTAAAGTGCTGAATGAGGCAGGAGTCCTGTGGAAAAAAACAGTATGTGTTCACATAATTAAAAACTGTATCATAATGCATATGCATAAGGGGCCCCAATTAAGCTTGTTCAGGCAATCTTAGTTCTGGTATTTCCTAACTTTTGCAACCTTAATAAAGTTCTTTTAACACAATAATCATATGAGTTTTTTCATGTTTTTACTTTGTAATATAACCAGACATGGCTTCTTTGTGCATTGAAAGCAGACCCTCCAGCAGAAGGTGGTACTGAGTCACACTCTACCTGTGAGAACTCCAGGAGGCCTCAGGCAGGCAAAATGCCTCCCAGAGCTTCCTGGGAGTGGCAGGGAAACCGTGCCATCCTTTTGGAAGGTGCAAAAGCCTGGTAAACTTTGTGCCCTACTCAAGCTAAGAGCAGTTCATACAATCAGGAAAGTGTAAAGCCCACAACTGTGAGAAACCTGTGTGTGGCGGTGAGCTTCCTTGCTCCTTCCCCAGCACCCCACATAAAGCATGGGATAAAAAAAATTAAAAGTGCGTAAATGGCTTAGGAGCCTTAAGAGCTTACTTCTCTTTTGAAAATAGGACTTTGGGGCTTTTGAAAATGTTATCCTTGGGCACAATCTATCCAAAAGAAACAATTCTGATACCAAGCACTCAACCAAAACTTTGCTGAGTAGTACTCCTCCTCATAACCACATATTTTCTGCACATGCAGTTTGACCTCTAATATAGTAATTATGTCCTTTGTAAGAAGGGATAAATGAGAATGTGTCGGCTACTAGAAAAGGACTGTTCTTTGATCATCACATTATTCAAACATGTATGTCCTGTAGGATTCTTATTTTGGAAACCATCCATTATTACTAGGGATGGGAGAAACTGCTCAGCAAGATTAAGATCCCTTCCTCCTCAAACCTTTGCCCTTTCCTAGAACTGCATATGAAAGGAAACCTTTTGCATACTCCCTCTGCAATATGGATCCAGTCTCGACTCCCCAACAAACCTTGCAGAAGTCTGTATCTGGATCCAAACTTCATGACTCCAGTTCATAGCTAGTTTTGAACTCTTTGGGTAACTTTATTTTTAATATATTTAAATATATATTTTAATATATTTAATAAGTGGAAATCCATCAACTTTATTTTTAATATACTCTATCATTTTTTTGGGGGGTGTAGTCAGGTGCGGACTCACCCCTGCGGCGCCTCCTGCTGGTCGTCTCGGGAATTAGCTCACCCAGAATCCGGAGCGCCCTCTGCAGGCCAGGTGTCCCGCCTTTCTTTGGCCCCCGTGTCCCTCCCAGACCCCGGTGCCCATGGCTTAGGTGCTGCCCCCCTGGCAGTACCCCACTCTCTCTCTCTGGGTCTCCCCACCCAGGGGAACCCCCACCTCCTATCCCAGTGTCACCTCAGTTATGGCTACTGCCAGTCCCCATCTAGCCCCCACACCCTGGGGCAGACTGCAGTCTATCAGCCAATCATCACAGGCAACAAGGGGTTTGGACTGGCTGCCTTTACCCACCCTCAGGCTGCCCCTCTGCAACCCCAATACCTATATGGCCTAGGACCAGGCCCTGCAGCCTGGGGAGTTGCTGGCCTAGGGCTTCCCAGCCCCCAAGGCCTTTCCCCAGCCCTGCCTTACTCTAGGTCCCCGGGGAGCTCCCTGCAGCCAGGCCTGTCTCTCTCTCCTGTCAGAGGGAGACTCCTCTGCGCTGGCTAGTCTGGCCTTCTTATAAGGCTGGGGCCTGGTCTACACTAGGACTTTAATTCGGATTTAGCTGCCTTAATCCGAATTAACCCTTCACCCGTCCACACTACAGAGCCAGTTAATTCGAATTAAAGGGCCCTTTAAATCGATTTCTGTACTCCACCTCGACGAACGGAGTAGAGCCTAAATCGATTTTGTTAATTCGAATTAGGGTTAGTGTGGACGCACACCACCGAATTACTGTGTTTAAGTTAATGGGGTAGTGTGGCCGCACACCACCGAATTAATGTGGTTTAAAACCGAATTAAGGTGCTTAGTGTGGCCGCGCACAATCGAATTTATACAACCTGTTTCCCAAATTCGAATTATCCTAATTCGGATTAATCCTGTAGTGTAGACATACCCTGGGTGGCTCAGTTTGGGGCGTGGCCGCAGCTGCAGCCACTTCCCCAATCAGCCGGGGTTTTGCCCCTTTACACAGCCCCAGCCCTCTGCAGGGCTTTTCCAACCCCTTCAGGGCTGGAGCGGGCGTTCACCTCGCTACAGGGGGGGATGGGGATTTGCACACTTCTGTGCAATACCATGGCTAAGCCTGTGGCAGCATGTTTCCTTCTAAGTAATAAGGGCTACCAGTTCTTTCAGCAAAAAATAACCAAGAATATAATAATAAACATATTTTTCCTAAATAAAGATATTCTACAGAGGGGCACAAACTTTAAAGTTCAGATTTACATTCAAACATTTTCAGAGTTTGATGCATTTGGATCAGTCTCATGTGGCGGTAAGGGGGCTATTGCTAAGTTTAGACCTGGATCCTGATTTGAACTTTCCCAGATTTCATGAGTGTTCAAATTTCAGCTGCAGATCTTGGTTAAAGACCTTTCACATTTGTTGGTCTCTTTTGAGATACATGAAAACCATACACAGTACTGTATCAAACTTGGTTTAGCTGAACAGCTCCCAGGGGATTTTTGTTTCTTCACAATATACTTCGGTCTTTAATGTCTATTCCAGGGATTCTCCAATTCCCAAGACCAATTACTATCTTTTTCTTGGTCTCCCAAATTATTTGAGCTTCTAGGCCTTTACCACGTAGTGTTACTGCCTCACCCATTCTCCATCATATATTTCTCGACTCCAGTAAACACTTTTTTGTCCATGACATTCTAAGCATATCTGTCTCCTCTCCTCCCTTTGAGGCCTCTCCAGTCCTCTTCTTTGTCCACCCTTTGTCTTCTCCAAAATTATATAGTTCTCTGCACCAAGCCCATATTTCACAAGATGCCTTACTTTATCTTATTCAAGCCCTATAGTTTATAGTTACGAACGGTCCCTAATCCTTTCTGTGCCGATGTTATCTGCCTCTCTTCTCCAAGACACAGGCCTTTTGCCTCCCTCCCAGCTTCTTCCTATACCACAAACCCATTCGTTTTTCCTTTGCATCAGGCTCCATATTTCTGGATCCATCTCCAAAATAATTTCTCTGGCTTAGCCATGTCTGTCTGAATGTGGAGGCCAGAACTATGAACTTACATTTTTCAACAATGGTTTCATAATTAGGGCCAAATCTTGCGATTGGCAGTACTTTCATAAGTAATGCAAGAAAGATTTGTCTCACAGGTACCTGCTACATAGATGGATCCCTAGCCATCAGTATCATTGAGATATCTGTAATATGGATTTCATGTTATTATTATTAGCCAAAGGCCATCTGCGTTGTCAATGCTGTACATAACAGACTGGAAGTGGACAAGATGTCTACCCTAAAAAGCTTAGCAACTTAGGCCCTGATTGTGCAACACTTACTCACTTTTGGTGAATATTTACTCATGCAGCTAGTCTGATTGGCCTCAGCGGCATCGCTCACATTAATCCTACACAATGTAAAGGCTGCAGAATTGTGCTCCAAACTAGACAGAGTATAGTTCCAGCAATAACAGAACAATTATCAGTAAATGATGGTCAAGTCAGAGGTGCTGCCGTTTTCTTTTCTTTCTACCGTAGGTCAGCAGTGAAAGACTTCCTGGAAAGAGTGTTTCTTAAGAAAGAATTTCAATAAGAAGAAAATGGTTATTTGGCACACAAGAAATGGGATTGTAAAACTACAAATTCTGGCTTTAACGTCAAAATTCTATACCATCTATGAAGACACTTATCTTCTATCACACAAAATAAGGATGTCTCAAGGAAGCCTGAGGACTCAGTACTTTTTCTAGGAAAATATCAAATAGTATATACTTTAAAATACTTCATCATTCAACAGTCTAGTTACACCCATCTCTGGATTTGCTCAAGATCAGATTGAAGGCCTCAAAGTCAAATTACATCAGTCAATGGCATTTTTAATAGAGATCAGTGTTCTTACGTATTTTCTTTGTTAGCGGCTTATGAATTTAAATCTAACAACCTTCAACCACTTTCTGCTGTTGTTCATATGTGAGAAGGTGCAGCGTATTGTTTCTAGCACTGAGATTTCTCCAGAGTTGCTACTACCCCTGCTCACTTGTGTAACCCACACACCTTCTGAGTGTGGTGTTCTGTCCAATCTAGTGGCACTGAGACCACTTAAAGAGAGAGATAAAATGAGTCTGCTCTACGGCCTTAGCTAAGAGCCACTTGGTTTTTAGCTCATGCTGTAGAGCAGAGGTTCCCAAAGTGGGCGATACTGCCCCCTGGGGGGGCGCTGGAACGATCCAGGGGGGCAGTAGTAGCCTTGGGTGCAATTGGGGGGCGTTGAATAAAAATAAGGGGGCGGTGGAAGCATAAAGAAAGAAGGGAATATAAGAAAATTTTGAAAAACCATTCGTACATGTTTCATCTGTTGTGTAACAGAGTTAAAGTTGTAGTGATTACTTTATTTTCCAAATAAATTCACAAATTATAACCGATCAGGTGTCAAGTCCACCAACAGCTCTTAACAAGCAAGTGTTGGCAGGCGAGCATGTCGCGCATTGTCGGGAAGTCCAGCATGCATCGGCAGGAATATGTGCGTGTAATGACTTGTTTACAATACGATACTATAAATAGGCGACATGTATGAAATCTAATTTAGATTGTTTCTGAATTGTGTAAAAAGCAGTTAACAATGTGCAATAAGTATTTAAAAATTTTTATTCATATTCGATACCTTCGATCTTTACGGATTACAGATCACATACAAAGCAAATTGTATTATTGTTGTTTCAATAAAACAGCAATTTACACGTGAGTATGTTTATACATTTTCTTACATATCTACCGTACGTTTCTGTGTCTCTAATGCTTACTAATAATAAAATCGTAGCAGGCTTGTGTCGGTACAGTACTATTTGAAGTGTACAGTCAATATATTTGTCATATTTTTATTACAATATTAACAAAAACGGGAATGAAATCGTAAAAAAACTGTTAACTATTAACATTTATTTATATCTATCGAATCATCTGTGTTAATTGGTAAATAAGGCATGTGTTAATAAGGAACAATTATTTAAATAATGGCAAACTAAATTAAAACCATTAACTGATTTTTAATTGCATATTGATTATTTTTTAAATTAATTATTTCTTGATAAATTTAGTTTGATATGTGACAATTTAATATCAAATACATATATCTAATGCTGAGCAAAGAACAAAACCCAGTTTATTAGTTTCATTAGTATTTTAGTTTGGTTGTCTTTTGCCGTCTTACGCAAAAACCACTGTATACCTGATGTCGTGGGCGATATTCTAATAACACATCTTTCTTTACTATATTGTAGGATGTAGGTAGAAATATAGATACATAAAAGAACGCAAATTTGTCACTGCATCTTTCTGTTTGTTCGCTTAAAGAAGGTAGATTTCCAGGGGGGCGCTGAGTAATTTTTTTTCTGAAAAGTGGGCGGTAGGCCAAATAAGTTTGGGAACCTCTGCTGTAGAGGCTCATGCACTAAGCTCCAGAGGTCCCCGGTTCAATCCCGCCCACCAACAACCGGGGTCTGTCCGCATTACACTTGCACACTCATTCTCACTAATTCTTTAGTCTTTGAACACACATATTGGATCACATTCTCTCATAAACCAAGATAAACTCTGGGCAGGAAAAGGGCATTCAGGGAGCCACTTTTTGATTCACCGATTCTCAATCTGCACCAGCCCCACTTATCGCAGTCTATGGGATTTATATCAATAGAGAATTTTGTTAATGAAGTTCTTATATTCTCCGCAAAAGCATCTGGGTTGTATAACAATTTCTGGTTCCCAAATTTATGAGGTGCTGTTAGGGATAAAATTCGTGTTTTGGCACACAAAGTACTGAAATCATATACATTTTAAATGAAACACATGCATTATATAATGTAATACATAGACTGTACATTGTATAGTGAAAATAGTCAATGCCCAAATCATGAATTCTTTACAGTATATTTAAAGATGTGCTATTTACTTCTATCTATACACTACTGTATACTAAAAATGCTAATATTCCACATTAGCCTCTGACATACATGAGAAACTATTCTCCACATAAATATATAGTGGGCACAGAAATACATAAGACTATGTTGAAAAGTAAGTGGATACTGTCAAATCAATTTAGAACCATATTTCAGGTTTGGTGAAATGAGTTTTATAAGATATAAGCTAAAAAAAATGCTTATATGACTTTTTAAAGACTTTTGCAACTTAAGTTCCATAGAAAGTAGCAAAGGAGGAAGGAGGAGATTAGTAGGGCTGGCCAGAAAACAGTAATTCTGTTTCATGAAAAATTTGGGAGGAGGTTGGAAAAAATTTAATGAAAACTAGAAAGAGACAGCCATCACTTTGGGAAAGCCACTAGCCTGCTAGTTAGGGCACTAGGGTGGGATTTGCAAACTCTGGCTTTAAGTCCCTGCTTTTCAGCCTAAACCTCCTGCATTATTAGCTATCCTGGGTTCTCTCTTTCTCATATACTCTATCCTGAAACTGACAAACCTTCCCAATGGAATTTTCATTAAAACTGACCATTTTTGCAAAAACAAAATTGCTTTAGTCAAAATGGCATTTTCCTACCAAAAAAGGTTTTGCTGAAAATTTTTTGCCAAGCTCTAAAGATTAGCTTTCATCCTCCCACTCCCACAAAGGAAACTCTTCTGAACAGTAGGCATGCTTGCACTAAAACAGTCTGCGAAGCCAACCTGTAACTATCAGAGGGAACTGAGAAGAAAATTTGTGTGTGGGAGGTAGCCCAAATATTTCTACCACAGGTTTTCTTCTGCTGAAGCACTTGGTAATGGTCCCTGATGAAGACAGGATACTGGTGTCAATGGAACACTGTTCTGATCCAATATGACAGTTACTGTGTTCCCATTTGATCTTGAATGAGATGGCAGTTTCCAAGTAGAATAATTCCCATTGTATTCAAATGGGTTATTAGAGATGGGCCCAAACCAAAACATCTGTTCTGAACCCCCAGACACAAAGCCACTCTGGATCTGAACTTTGTGACTGAAGTCCATCTCTGTTTATTATTCAAGGTGGATAGGGAGGAAATTAGGGAGGAACAAACCCAGGGATGTTCAGATTCTGATTCTAATCACAAATTTTGGTACCCCACAATTAAAATGAGAGACTCCTCTACTCTCTAGGGAAAGAACCCCCAGAGGACAAGGCATTTTGATCAGATATCACAACATGATATTTGCATCACAATGGACATGATACAAATGTCAACTGGACATAAATCCCTCAGCAAATTTCAGATAGAATTCAATGTCACAGTGCATCTCTGTCAAACCAAAAAACATTTCTTCCCCAGGAAGAGGAGGAGAGAAAGAACAAACCACACATGATATCTTAATCATGTTGTTTAATGCACTACTGGAAGGTGCTCAGATACTACGGTGATGACTGCAGCATACAAACCTATGTAAAACTGAACAGAATTGATCAGTGTCGGTCAATTATATATATTTGCCAAAGTTTCACTGCAAAGCCAAAGTTACGGTTTAATACATCCGAACCATCTCAACCCCAACTGAAATGTCTATAACAAACAATTAGGATTAAATTCTGCCAATAAACACCCTGTGGGTTTTGGAATTTCTATTAACTGTGATGCCAGGAACAGAAGACATTTTGTTTACACAGAAGCTATATTTAAATCACAATAAAATATTTTCCAATAATGTTAGCATAAAGCAATGCACGTTTGCTGGTACTATATTTATGGTAAGTTCACATAAAGTATCATATACATTAGAGACTAAAAGAGCCCATTAAGTCACAAACCCCCTGCTCCCCTGACAGAGAAAGATTGATCCCAACAGAACAATTTTATTTTAAATGGCCCCTCTCCCACAAACACACGGGGACTCCTGTCTCTTCCTTCGGGAGACTGTTCCATAGCTAACATGGCAGATCTCCCTGTCAGGATGGGTGAGTTTGATTTTCCAGCATTGTACTAAAAGGGATAGTAGGGGAGAAGTCTGGTCTGTTGGTGGTGGCAGTAGTTTGGAGTGGGTATTCCTACTGAGGCAAAGTCAAGGTTGTGGTGTAGGGTCTGTGGGACATGGTGGTTGTACTAGTGATGAAGGGTGCCTTTCTGGGTGGAAGAGAGATGGTAAGTACGGTTAGACACCTTCGTTTTTCATTTCTTTGCTTTTGTGGTTTAGGGTAGGTATATAATCTACAAACAAACAAACCTTGTAACACAGACACACAATATAGTGTGTCTTATATTAACATCATAGAAAGTATTCTTCAGCTTCTATTGATAAATGTGACTGTCCTGATATCAGATATTATCATAAAAATGTTCAATTTTTTGTTTGTTTGTTTTAAATTTCCTAAGACTTAAACCTAAAATGCCAAGTTTCAACTCCGGGTGATCACATATTTGCCAGCCGAATACTCCTTCAGTAGAGAAGTTAGCAAAACCCTTAACTATAGTCACTAGATGGCTCCACTATTGCTTGCAGAACTGTGACTAATGTTTTGAAAGAGGAGTAGATCAGAGCACACTAGGGAATTTTAGTGAGCACTAGTACAGTCCACATGAACAATTAGTGTGGAGCACACTTGTGCGCTGTAGATTTACATTCCAGCTTGCCACAAACTGTTTGTCTAGATAAGCCCTTATCCTGGCTGGTAGGAGCTCCCCAAACATCTGGGAATTTCCAAAACTTAGCAGCCGTCAGCCCCTATCCTACCAAGGAGGGTGATGAAATACCGTTGAGTCGAACAATTTTACTACACTCGGAGATTTCTCCATGCCAGGGGAATCCTCAGCTGCCAGGTAGGGTAGTTAAACAGCCATTTTTTGTTGCCAAAGACAGAAAAAGAGGCCATATTGAAGGGTAGGTTATACTTCTATGGCATGATAATCAATTAAAGATCAGCCTAACAAAACATTATCACCAGTGCCAAGAAGAGTGCAAATTAGTCTTAACCCACATGTTTCTAGGAACTATATCTTTAAAAAAAAATTAAATAATCATAGAATCATAGATCTGGAAGGGACCTCGAGAGGTCATCTAGTCCAGTCTTCTGCACTCAAGGTAGGACTAAGTATTATCTAGACCATCCCTGACAGGTGTTTGTCCAACCTGCTCTTTAAAATCTCCAATGATGGAGATTCCACCAAATCCCTGGGCAATTTATTCCAGTGCTTAACCACTCTGACAGGAAGTTTTTCCTAATGTTCAACCTAAACCACTCTTACTGCAATTTAAGCTCATTGCTTCTTGTCCTATCCTCAGAGGTTAAGAACATTTTTTCTCCCTCCTCCTTGTAACAACCTTTTATGTACTTGAAAACTGTTATCATGTCCCCTCTCAATCTTCCCTTCTCCAGGCCAAACAAACCCATTTTTTTCAATCTCCCCTCATAGGTCATGTTTTCTAGACCTTTAATCATTTTTGTTGCTCTTCTCTGGACTTTCTCCAATTTGTCCACATCTTTCCTGAAATGTGGCGCCCAGAACTGGACACAATACTCCAGTTGAGGCCTAATCAGCGCAGAGTAGAGCGGAAGAATTACTTCTCGTGC